TCTTTCCCTGGCACATCTCCCTTCACTCCCCTCATTTCCTTTCCCATGGAAAGAGGGACAGTGTTTGCCCTTCTCCTAAGCAGGCATAATGGGTAGCTGCCCCTCTTCTCAGTGGGTATCCCTTTCCTAAGAGCCCCTGGGAGTCCAGGAAAATGTGAGTTGTATGACTAGGGAGCTGAAACGTCCTGAGAGAAAAGCCTGACACTCCTACAGCAGGCCTGGGAAGTGCCAGCTGTCCCCACCGCCTGCAAAGTTAAATTCCTTACCCAGACCTGAGGTTTCTGTTTTTCCTGTCTGAATCATTCAGAAAGTGAAACACCACTGCTCTGGCCCTGCTTTGGTTCTTCCACCACGGCTCCAGATGTGGGTTTTTTAACCCCTTTGCTCTGCTCTCCCACATTTCCCTGCACAAAGAGGTATGAAAAGTAGAGGGTTTTATCAGTCATCCTTTCAAACCTGAGCAGTCCCGCTGTTGTAGCACACTTTCCATCTCTCTTCTTGCCTCCCCAGCTCCCTGCATCCCTCTTTCTGTTGGGTCCTTGTTCCTGCTTTCTGGAGCCAGCACTCCAGGGTGTCAGACGTGTTGGGATCTGCAGCGTCAGGGTGTAGCCTCCAACACACACCCCAGTAATCTGGTCTTACCTGCTGTCGACTCAGACAGTGGTGAGGAAATGCTGGGGGTTGTGCTGCTCTTCCCCATGAGCTGAGCCTCCAAGAGACTCTCCCCTCTGTGAGGGGCAGAGGTGTGAGCCCACCTGGGCAGCCGGAGATGGAGCTCCTGGACTGATGTGCCAAGACCCAGTGAGGTAAGTGAACCTGTCTGGGTGAGGGAAGCTGTGGGGCTCAGGGCATCGTGGGCTAGGCTAAGTGCCACCATGTCCTCCTCTTCGGACACACGCGATAGAGCCAGGACTGCCAGGCACAGACAGGTATGTGCACATATGCTTGGGGAGCAAGGGCTGCAGGGGAGAGGAAGGTTCCCACAGAGGATGTCAAAGGCTCCTTTTGCAAAGGGAGAAAGACACGCGCCCTCTCCCCACCCCCTGGTATATCTGTAAGCCTTTATCCGTACCAGAGACTTGATGGGAGCTGAAGAGACAAAAAGATGTGAAAACAAAGATCCCAGCAACTAGGAAGTGAAAAAGGGGGTCTGGTTAAAAAAAGAGAGGCACTAGAAAGGAGCAGGATGAGATCAGTGTTCAGATGCTATTGTACCCTCCAAGGATTTATGATCAGCAGAAATATAAATCCCTTGGCGTGTCACTCCCTGAATGAGGAGGCAGCAATGGCAGAACAAGGCAGGCAGGGAGTGAGAAAGTCAAACAACAGCAGCAACAGCCATCAGGCACAGGAGCCAAGCAAGGGCTGTAGAGAAAGAGCAAGCCCATAGGCATGGCACCTTCTTCTCGGGGCAGCCGCTCCTGCAGAAGGACAATGGTAGGATTAGGCGTGTCCCCATGACCCACGTCTTCTTCCAGGTGTGCTGGGACTGGCAAAGCGGAAATAGGACTTGAAGCAACAGAGTGCCAGGTGGGCTCTGCAGAAGGGCAGATCCCTTCCCAGGTATGCTTGGTGGTGCTAGGTTGCAAATGTCCGGCTGAATCAAGCCTTGCACTTTCTTAGCGCCACGCCTCCTGCAGACTTTAACGACAGGGACTGGTGTCTGTGGCAAACATGCCTTTGACTGCCACCTCTTCAGAGCTCGGTTCTTTCTGGGTCCCTGCCACGTGCCAGTGGTGTGCAGCTGGGTCTCCAGACAGGGGCTTGGCCCCAAAGCGTCCAAGCCTGTGGACTCAGCGTTTGTGCTGGCTAGTGATTAAACCAACTTTGCTTTCACTTCCCATATTTCACTTCTACCTCCTGTTTGGCAATATTCTGGGGAGGGGGATGTTTTAATTTTGCCCTGTCAGTCCTGGGGGTGGCTGAGTTAGCATGGGAGTGAAGACGAGCAAGTACTTTGCATTATGACCCAGGGCAGGTCTCCTCACTTGCAAGGACACCTAGGTGTTGCTTCTTTCACTATTATGTTTGCTTTCATAGGATGTGTTTTACCTTATCAGCTTTGGAGAGCAAAGTTCATGCTTTGTGGCCAGCAAGTTCACCAGGAAGTGAGAAAGGAGGGGAGATGAACTGCTGCAAAACACATGTAGAACCAGCCATGGTGCAGCAGGAGACGGCTGTGATTTTGATGAGCAAGTAGCCAAAGAGCCTGCCTGGCTCTGTTTTGATTCAAGCTGCTTGCAGTTTTGGTGCCTGGATCGAGACCTCTGCCGTGACAGCGACTGCTAGCCAGCAGGCCCACGTGCACCCTTGGCTCTTCACCAGCAGAGGTAAGTGAGATGGAAACAACTGGAGAGATGGATGGTCTGGGTGCACCCGGCACTGGTCCCTGTCCCCTGCTGCAGGTGTGCTGTTGAACCTGACCATGGGGCATTGGGGAACCCTCTGCGCCTCTTCAGTTGCCTAGTGGACATAGAGGTGCAAGGCAAACCTCTGTATTTATTCAAACAGAGGCTTTCTTTTGGACTCTGTGATACTAAAAGCATGGGCAGCCTGGAGAGCTTACTTGCCAAGGTACCCACAATGGAAGTCCTTTTCCATGGGGTCCACGGGGACCTCAGGAGATGAAGGGGGGGTGGATACCTCCGGGCACTAGGCAGTCACAGTGTGATCAGACCTCATGAGCTAAATATGGAGGTCTCAGCTTTGTTGTCATGTATCTCATTAAAAACAAGCTATACCAAGTCTTGAATGCCTTCACAGTTCTAATCATCACAATAATATAATTTATTGGTTATAAAAAAGGTGAAAAGTGGGGCTTAAATGTCTCCTACAACAGGTAAAAAACAACCACATTTAAGAAAAAATATAACTTAAATTTCTAAAAAAAAGGATGGGTGGGTTTTTTGAGGTTTGGTGTGTCCTTTGTTATTTCCTCTTGGTTCCAGTTTCACTAAGTGAGCTTGTGCAGTTTGTGTTTTCAGCTGCACTGCTCTGCACCCCAATGCCATGTTCTCTGTCTGCAGCCCCAGGGCAGCCCCAAAGCGCCACAGGGTTTAGATGACAGGTCACTCTTGGAAACGCTGACCCTGTGGCATGCTCAGCAAGATTTTTCTAGGTGTCTTTTTCCACCTCGTTTCTCAGCCCCATGCATAACCCTGTGTCCTGCCACACTCTGCTCCTTCTTCATTTTTGCAGTGCTAAGAGGGAGTGGCTATTGGTGAGATATTGCCAGAAGAGAAGAAGCCTAGGACCAGGCAGCAAGATGCCAGGCACACAACTCATCTCAGGACACGCCTGCCTGTTCCAGCCCCCCTATGCAAAAACAGCCAGGGTTTTCCACCCCACGAAAGTGAAAACTCAAAATCCCCGTGGGTTTTTCATGTCCTATGGGGACTCCTTGCCTAGCAGCTGTTTTGCTGCCTCTGGCAAGAGGTGCCCACCTTGAGCCCAACCTCTGTCTCATCTCAGTCCAGCACGTCATGCCAGCCAGGGCCCTGGGCAGCTCCCAAGCACTTGGGGGAGGCATGTGGCTGTCATCTGAGTGGGGTGGTCACAGGACAATGTGTGTGGAAGGGAAGGATGGTGCACTGTTTTCAACTGGGTTTTTTGGGGTTGTGTGCCCGTCCTCCAGCATCACGTTCTCCTCTCACACAGCAACAGCAGTCAGTGTTGCCCCCATCTCTCACCTATACCAGCACCTCTTCCTCCCTCAGCAATATTTACCCTTCCTTCTAGTTTCTGCAGCTCCTCTCCCCTGCAGCAGTTGCTCATAGTGTGTGTGTGTGCGTACACATGCACGTGCACATGTCACGTCTACGTCGTTCCCCCTGTCCCCCCTCCCAGATCAAGAATACTAGCAACAAATCCATTTTCCACCTGAAAACAGAAAGAAGTATCTGCCTAGGTAGTATGTGTAGGTTGAATTGCTCTTTTCTGTCCCTGCTGGAGAGAAGGCCATGGTCTCAGCTGATGGCCTTCAGGGGCTCATATTGATCTTCACTGAGAGGAAAAAAGATGCTTCCCCCAACCCCTGGGACACTTAAGGCCAGTCACCAAACAGAAAGTTCCTTCAGGATTTCAAGACAGCATCTCATCGTGAGGAGATGATTCAGCTGTGGTACCATTGCCTCCTTACACAGCTGATGACTTGAGACTTCTCAGCAGCTTTTGTGTAGAGCAATGAGTACTTGAGGTTCTCTTGGAGGCAGCCACAAAGAACATGGCCTGTGGCTCTCACACGTTAACCAACAAGGATAATCTAACCAGTTTCAGCTCTTCTCTCTCCCTGCTACCAGCCTGCTTTACTCACAGCTTTCCTCTTCCTTGAGGGACAAGTCAAAACAGTACCTCCAGAGCTCTGTGGAGAAATGCTCCTTTCCCTCAACTTCTTCCCTTCCAAAGACTGTGCATGTAGGCATCTCATTTCAGGTCTCTGACATGTTGATTACAGTATCTGTTATATCAAATTTGAGACTAGCTTCAATAACACCACTGTAGTGGATTCTTGCTTCTGTGCTTCCATCCACCCACAAAAAAACCAATCCCCTCAGAAAACCCCAATCGGTTTTCCACTCTTGGTGATCTTTGCTGACAGTTTAAATCTCTGCTGTTTGGTGTCTCAAAGGCTGAAGGGCTAGTATGGAAGGAAAGACCACTCAGAAAAAAAGAGAAAAGGTGATGGTGGGCAAAAGATTAAACAGATTTCTTGCACTGGGGTTCATGGCAGGAAAGCCTAAGAGATTTCCATGGCAGAAGCTCTTTTTATGGGGAAATTAGTCAAAGGACTGTCTCTGATCAAAACGGTGGTAGGAATGGTTATGGAGTAGCAAGATGAACCAAGAAGTGTCTGAAAGTGCTCCTACCCCAGAGGTCTGAAAACAACTGAAGGGTGGAAGACCTGACTAACTGTGGTGTAGAAACATTTGCTTAAAACTGCTTTTAAAGGCTCACTAGCAGAAACAATTTGAGAAAAGGCTCTTGGAGGATTTCAGACCAGGGAGCTTGATGTCTGTCCTGAAGAAATTAGTAGAAGTTATAATATAGGAAAAAAACCAATTGACATGCAGTCACATCTAATTACTGGGGAAGAGCCAGTGGCTTTTATACAGGGAAGCGGTGCCTCAGAGTCCTTCTTTGAAGGAGTCAACAAGCATGTGAACAGAAGCCCGTATGGTTTTCCAAAAGTCTTTCAAAAGGGCTCTCACCAACAGTGCCTAAACAAATTTAGAGAAAAAGTTCCTACTTGGATAAAAACTGCCTAAGAGATAGGACAGAGAATGAGAGTAGATGGTCAGTTTTCTCAGCGGAGTTCTAAGACACCAGCGCTAGGGCTTGGGCTTGACTTGTTCATGAGGAATGAATAATGAAATAACAAATTCATTGGAGACATAAAATTATTCAAGTTAGAAAAGATGAGGGTTGGCTGTGAAGAACTGCAGAGATTAAGAGAGGTGTGAGTGACTGGCCTTAAAATAACAGCTGAAATGTCACCTAACAAAGTGACGAGAAAAACCAATCTGAACTGGCCATTACCCATTGCAAATGAGATCTACGCCTACTCAGCTCAGTGCATCCACACGATCAACATAGTGTATGTTTTGAGCACCCCACCACAGGGCTCACAAAGGCTGCAGCAGAAGCGGAAAGGTTCTGAGAAGGGCAGCAAGGATGTTCAAAAGTACAGAATGGCTCCTCTGT